TGAATTGGTTGGAGCTATACGCTGTACAATACAATAAGCTGTTATAGTACAATAAGCTGTTATAATGCAATAAGTTCTAATAGTACACCAAGCTGTTCAATACAATAAGCTGTAATAGTACACTGAGCTGTAATCACACAATAAGCTGTAATAATACAATGAGCTGCATAATACAATAAACTGTCATCATGCAATAAGCTGTATAATACAATAAGCTGTAATAGTACACCAAGTTGTAATCATACAATGAGCTGTAAACATACAACAAGCTGGGGCTGAGTTGGGAATCCTCCCGCCATTCAGACAGGTCTATAGGGGGGCTCAATGTATACCAGGGGCAACTTCTCGGTATCTGCTTGTACAAGTTCATTTAATAAAATGACGTTGTGGTTCACTACACCTATCACTCCCAGCTACTCTATCCATGCACAGGAACTCTGACAGGATTATTGGGAATGTAAAAAGTCAATGAGGTGGACATATACTAGAATGGATGAAGCAGGTTTTGCAGTTTATATTAGTACGGTAGTCTCATGCTTTGACTAGGGGGGCCAAGGTCCAAGACGGGGGTAGAGCCAGACACTTTATGGCTGTGCTCTCATTACTGCCGTGTAACAGTCATCATGCAGGGACTAAGGTTCACTTAGAAATGCTGATAAAAGTTTTCTTAATAAATGTCTTGTGTTAACCAGATATTAACCATCTGGAGTTGAATGTCCTACAAACTATATACACGGTTTTATATCTTAACTGGTTAACTCCCTCACTCCTTTTTAACCCTCTTGAGGTCTTTCCGACATACTGCTAAAAAGGGCTAAAAAATGGATGACAATAGAACAACACAACCTTTAATTTTAAACACTGCAGCCTTAAGGCCCAAATCTGCATCCACCCCTGCAACAAGGACCTTTAATTTTAAACACTGCAGCCTTAAGGCCCAAATCTGCATCCACCCCTGCAACAAGGACCTTTAATTTTACTTGGCTATCTTTGAAAGGGTTAATGCTGTTCTGGACTCAACTCCCCTCGATTCTCGATTCTCCGGTCACCACATCAATTGACAGGAGTTCTTGTTTAGCAAATAACGACAGACACGAAAGAGTGCTCTAACAAGTTCTCAATGAGTATATTTTCAAAGCTAGCATTTATACACAGTTTGTCACGCAAGCAGCGAGATTTATCGCTTCCTTATAGTTAATAGTACATACTTGTCTGACATTAAAAAGATAAGCATTTGGGGCGGGGCCTGACAGCTGACCAAGAAGGTCGTGTAGAGCCGGAGCTCCTCCAGAGGGAATACTAATAATGCCGCAAATGGGCCAAACGAGACCCCAAAACGGGACCAAACTCTGCATCTCAGCCCGGGGGACACCCTTACTGCCACCCGGAGCGGAACAAGCCTGTAACTCACGATCCCAACTGGCACTGGACCTGCGTGACGCCCGCAGCAACACACGAGGTAGGGAAGAAGGCTGATCCCCGGCCTCGAAGTGGACTCAGCCGGTCGGCTCGGGGCACCAATCACCCCCCCTGGGCCGGCGGGGGATATCCCGGCCCCCAAGGACTACCTAGAGGCTCCCCTGGACTAACGACAAAGCATCCAGCCAAACTTAACTGTCGGGGCCCACCCAAGATGGCGACACGGCCAACGACGATGAACACACACATCCAGCCACCCAAGCATACCTCAGAGTTCTTTGAAAAAATCTGCGCAAGCCTCTGGACCCGGCTCTGTACTCTGGGACAGTCCTTCAAGCTAGCAATCAGGCAAGTGGCAGCATGGATTCACCCTGCAACCTGGCGCCGCCTGTGTGGATATCTGCCTTGAACCTCCAATGCAGATACCTGACGACAAAGGCGCCATAGCTCAGCAAGGCGGGAAGCAGCATTGTGTTCCTCAGACGCAAGCCCTTGTTTCCACGAACACCAGAGTGGGACCAGCAAGCATGACAGACCTGCATTCTACTCAAAGGCATCAGAGTTTCCTACCCAGCGAAACACAATTTTGCACTTCAGGACTCCTGCCGAACGCTGCGAAACCCGCGGAGATCTACCTGCGCTCACTGCCTACAGGAACGGACCAATATTTGCCTTTCTATACCACCTGGCTGACCCACTGCACGACAGCACTCCGCTGAAGATACACCCCCACCCCGGGCTGCTATCTCAGGCTTCTACGGTGGGCATCGGCTGACTGCCATGATGAAGGAGGGGGCTGTGCGGGACTTGGTGGGACTTGCTCCCTCCTAAAAAGCTTGCAGCTGGCAGCATGAAAATGTCTTTTACAGAAAAATAATGTTACCATCCGAACATAATGTTTATCTGCAAATCTATATGGTTTCACAGAGCTTGCCACTGGCCACTTAAAGCATACATATGACACCCTATACCTTTCCTGCTTAGTGCCTAGTGGCATCTCTTGTAACCCACATGACAGCCGACACTAGCGAGCTACCTACCAATCTCCAACACTTACTGACACATAAAACTCCTGTCCTACTACTAGTATACTCTATGACTATGCTGAACATCATATATACATAATGCGAGCAACAAAACTGACCTACAATGTCTTGAATTTCAAATTTTTTACATTCGTATGCATATGCAACTTAGTACCTTCACTATACTTTAAAAATGTCTCATAGCATGTTGTTATAATCATTCTTCTTATACCATAAAATTGTGCACTGAATAGTGAATACCCCACTTGTTATGTTTGAAGAGCAGCTAGAGGATTGCCGTTGGGGTACCTCCAGCCAGTTTGTATCCATTATATGCACTGCAAAAATAAAATATATATATAAAAAAAAAAAAGATAAGCATTTGAATAAAGACAGGACAGGGACATCCTGAGGTCGAGCGAGGTCATACATCCTGTAGAAGGGAGGCCTCTCAGAGCATGTTACAGAATACGTCTGCCAAGCTCAGCATAATTATTTCAAACATTATTTTAAAGCATATAGAGCAAAAAGAGTTAACTATTTCATATCCTTACATTCCCCTCTTTGAGCAAAACTTGCTCTTATTATCGGTTAACATTCTCCAAGGACAGAGAAATTTCCACATTATGGCATTCCTAAGCAATCATGTGGTCTACAAGAAACAGAAACTCAGCAGGAAAAAAAACCTGTTGCAAAAACTCATATTTGAGGAAAAAGCACATCTGGGGAAAGCCTGAGTGGAGGCCGCGATCTTGTTAGACATGTCATCTCCTCACAGTTGACACCACTTGTGACTTATAATACCTGCACCTGTGAGTACATAGCTCGGGTATCGGGAGGAATTGGGAAACACTTCTTACATATTAATTCACGAGATAAATTATAATCTAGCTTGAAATTCTGACAATAATAACCAGGACCTTGCGTCCTATATCTTTTAACCATTTCCCTATTTAATAGGTCCAGTCAAAACCAGTCATATCCTCACGCAGTTCCACAAAACATGGGAATCCATCCTTGGCACACTCAACATATATCAAAGACACACATAGTACATCCATCCCTGGGTCAGCTAACACTTCCTCTCTCTCTCCGGCTAACTCTACAAAAATAAAAATAGTTCAATAGTTCAGCATAGTTCAGAAAAATAGAATAAGTCTTTCACAGGGTATAAAGAAATCAGTTTAGACACCAGACATTTTGTTCCATAAAATGGCTAAGGGTAGCAATATGGCTGACAACAAGTCAATGTCAGCTTCCACATAGTTCTTCTTTTGTTTGCTGGATTTTCACCACAATGCTCTGTGCAACACCCCAATGGTTGAAAGGGTTATTACAGAACCAGCGGTATTAGACAGCACTGCACCTTCAGGACTTTCCAGGTTCTTACGTGCAAAGTTTATGTCCTCATAAATAAGTATCTCAGTTTCTTTGGCCTGCCTGGATAATGACCAAACAGATGTAATTGCAAAATACTTATTGCATGGTCAGCCGGAGAGATTGATGTGTAGTCCCAGAAATCAGGCGGCACAAACACTCCAGGACGGTCTCTATAATCATACAAACACAAGGATCAATACAACATTAATTAATTAATTACCTTGGCTAAAACTTAAATGAGAGATTAAGGTTAAACCCTTAACTTGTGTAGCATGTACTTCTCTTATCTTTGCTTATATTTTATGCAATCTGTCTTCTATGAAGTTTTACATAATATCCCTTTGGAATGCCTTTGTACGGATGAGAGAAGCACTCACTCTATAGAAGTGCTTGTTATGATGAATATTAAAACACTAACATTCACATATACATTCCCAATAAAACTTAGCTCCTAAACTTGAACCTTAATTTGATACGCAAAATTAATTACTTTAATAATACCGAATAATTCAATTCTCTTGGATTAACACCTACAAATATTTTTCCAGTGACCCTGCTATCCACAATTAGAACCGTGTGTTCCACCAATGCTGAAGTTGCTACTTCTACAAAAGTTAGACCCTTTGACCAAATCCTCTACCCCTGCCTTTAACCCTGTAAGGACAAATGACGGAAATATTCCGTCATGATTCCCTTTTATTCCAGAAGTTGTGTCCTTAAGGGGTTAAAACTTTTCTGATTCAATCTCCTATCACCTCCCAAATGTCTTTGTCTCGCCTGCTTAGGATCACAATCCTTGTGACTGATACAACATACCTTTTCCTTCTTTCTTTCTACCAAAACAACCTGCTGTATCTTTCTCATGAATCTTCCCAAGAAATTCAGTTGGGGTCAAAAGAGACCAGTCACAGACCAATCAAGGAACAAAAGTGAACAAGGAGGAAGCATATTCCATATGCAGGTCGGGATTACCAAACTCACACCCCCTCTTTGTGTATCCCTCTTTGTGTACCACACAGATATAATATTAATACACTTTTAAAGGTTTAATTTATAGTTAAATTGTGTATTAGTGATGTCCCGAACGGTTCGACACGGATGGCGAACATATGCGCTGTTCGGTCTGCCCCCTATTCGTCATCATTGAGTAAACTTTGACCCTGTACCTCACAGTCAGCAGACACATTCCAGCCAATCAGCAGCAGACCCTCCCTCCCAGACCCTCCCACCTCCTGGACAGCTTCACAATGAATGTAAAATGGATGCTGTCCAGGAGGTGGGAGGGTCTGGGAGGGAGGGTCTGCTGCTGATTGGCTGGCATTTTTATCAGTATCATTAGACTGAGACAAACTGATTCAAATATAATGTAAAACAACACAGCAACATATAAATTAAACCACTTTCCAGTAAAGCTGCACACTTCACACATTATCACAGTCACCATTTACACAGAATAAACAGTTAACAGCTGTACTCAGAACATATTATTGGAAGGTATACCAATTTTAGTTTGTATTAGATTTATTTTAGGGTTTCTTGTATATACATGTTTTTTCTTAATTAACTTCACTACTTTAATCTACTATAGTATTGTATATAAAGAAAGGATCCATTTATATAGCGCGCTCATAACTCAAATATTTGTATGAAACTTCCATCAACTAATCTGAGATGATGCTGCATCAATTTAAATCTTATAGAAATTGAACAAACATCTGGACCAGATTACACAGACATGGTTTCATCCGAATCTTTCAGAACTCTCAGAGACTTAAATTTTTTTTATACTATGCCATGTTAAAAGGCATGGCAAACCTTAGACCGGTCAGTCTCCAAGAGCCTTAGTAACAAAGGTAGAAACCTTTGTCCATGATCTCCGATCCATGCTATATACCACACATATAATGTGAGACATAGAAAACACAAAACATATGCAGTAGGTGTTGCACTGGATCATTTAAAGCATCTGTAGCAATAAAAAAGGTTAGCTTTCAGCACAAAATGAAGCATGTGTTGGATCGCTGAAAATGTAAATGTTGCTCTCTTATTTACAAACAAAAATCATATTTACAGTATGGATCCTTTGCAACAAACACACAGGGCAGGGAAGATGTGCTGATTGGTGTTCTATACAATTAATCCCATATGGGGAATTAACTTTCAAATACTAATGAAGTGACTTTTGTCTCAGTTATAAAAATACTGAGCTCATCATGCAAACAATGTAACACATTTACACTATCCCACTCTCATAGAAAGTGTAGTGGGCTTATGGTATTAAAGTAACAATCATACCAGGCACACAGATCCCATGTGAAATAACTTGCAATAAAACAGAGTAATAAACTTATACTTCTATGCGACAGAAAGAATAAAGCAAAAGATTTAAGTGGGTTATAGACAACAAACTATGCAACAATGTGCAATGTCAATCAGCCGTGGCCAGTAAGGTATTGTCATGCATGAAAAAGGGCATTCATTCTCGGGACAAGAATATAATTTTGCCTCTTTATAAATCACTGGTAAGACCCCATATTGAATATGCTGTGCAATTTTGGGCACCTGTTCTAAAGAAGGATATTATGGCACTAGAAAAAGTGCAGAGGCGGGCTACAAAATTAATAAAAGGAATGGAACATATCGGCTGTGAAGAAAGGTTAACAAATTTAAACCTATTTAGTTTAGAAAAACGTTGCCTGAGAGGGGATATGATAACATTATACAAATATATTCGGGTTCAATACAAACCATTGTGTGGAAATCTATTCACAAACCGGACTTTACATAGGACACGAGGCTATGCGTTTAGACTGGAAGAAAGAAGATTTCATCTAAGGCAAAGGAAAGGTTTTATTACTGTAAGAACAATCAGGATGTGGAATTCTCTGCCTGAAGAAGTGGTTTTATCAGAGTCCATACAGATGTTCAAACGGCTACTAGATGCATACTTGCAAGAACAGAATATTCAAGGATATAATCTTCAATGTAGGGTAATAACTGCTTGATCCAAGGATAAATCTGACTGCCATTCTGGGGTCAAGAAGGAATTTTTTTCCTAGCTTGTTGCAAAATTGTGCTTCAAACTGGGTTTTTTTGCCTTCTTTTGGATCAACAGCAAAAAACAAATGTGAGGTAGGCTGAACTTGATGGATGCAAGTCTCTTTTCAGCTATGTAACTATGTAACTATGTAACTATCAGGTACAACCTGCGAGTCAGTTCTTTTCTAATATACAGTACTGGTATATATATATTGGTCACTCAGGACCTGAACTCACATTTCCCATACTGCTGACTCAGGGCGGACACACTACTAACTTACCAAAGTGTGTCCCCAATATAGACAATCACCCACAAAGAACACTTAAGACAAACAAAGGTGACCGGGAGAAAGATAAGTTTGGGGTATACTTATAGATATATAAACCGTGCTCCTCAGAACACCTATAGTCTTAATAAACCAGAAACCTCTTATGGTCTCAAAACCTGTATCTACCTGAGATACCCTGTATCTATCTTAGATACTAACCTGGGTTACCAGGAACCCTAGACTAGACCAACTGTCTAGTAAAAACCGGAGAGCTATTTACAGTCTCAATATAACTAACACCTTTCCTATCTACTGGATACAGACTTACTGAACCAAAGGGGGTCATAGACAATCAGCGCCAATAAGACACAAAAAGGCTACTTATCCAATGGCTTTGCTGATCCCACTTCTGACACCAAGCTGAAAGGGTTAATGCTGTTCTGGACTCAACTCCCCTCAATTCTCGATTCTCCGGTCACCACATCAATTGACGGGAGTTCTTGTTTAGCAAATAACGACAGACACGAAAGAGTGCTCTAACAAGTTCTCAATGAGTATATTTTCAGGGCTAGCATTTATATACAGTTTGTCACGCAAGCAGTGAGATTTATCGCTTCCTTATAGTTAATAGTACATACTTGTCTGACGTTAAAAAGATAAGCATTTGAATAAAGACGGGACAGGAACATCCTGAGGTCGAACGAGGTCATAAATCCTGTAGAAGGGAGGCCTCTCAGAGCATGTTACAAAATACATCTGCCAAGGTCAGCATAATTATTTCAAACATTATTTTAAAGCATATAAAGCAAAAAGAGTTAACTATTTCATATCCTTACAATCTTGTCTCATCTCCCCATTTTAACCGGTAGATTGTAAGCTCACGGGCAGGGCCCTCTGCCTGTTGTATCTGTCTGTTCTTATTATGTTGTCTTTTTCCCAGCTGGTGCTTTATAAATGACAGTAATAATAATAATAATAATAACCCATTCTCCTTTGCAGGGCCGGACTGGGAAAAAAATTTGGCCCGGGCATTTTTAAATCAGAGTGGCCCCCTGAGAAGGGGCGGAGCCAGATAGGGTGTGTTTTGTCATCACTAATGACAAGCACGCCCCTCTCAAAGTGAGCATGTTGGTTCAATGCGCAAAGCCCCGCTGAAGAGCTCTAGCATGAGAAAAAAGCCCTGTATTTGTTCTGCACAGTGCAAGCAAATGTAATAACATGCTTGCACTGTGTTTGCTTTTAACTTGTCTCTGGTGTCTCCATAAGTGGGAAAGGACAAAAGGACCAGGAATGTGTATCGTGCTAGGGGCTGTAGAGAGTGTGTGTGTATAGGGGGCATGGTGTGTATTGGGGATGTAGCGAGTGTGTGCATACGGGCTGTAGTGTGTGTGTGTATATAGGTGACGAAGTGTGGTGTAAGGGTTGTGTGTTTAGAGAATGTAGCATGTGTTTGCAAACAAGGAAAGTAGTGTGTGCATAGGGCATCCAGAGTTTGTATGTCAGGAATGTAGTGTGTGTAGGTGGTGCAGTGTGTGTGTGTTAGGCATGTGCATGGGAAAATTTTTCAGTTCGGTTCGGCATTCCGAAATTCCGCACTTCGGCAATTCAACACTTCGGAACTTCGGCAACTTCAGCACTTCGAAACTTCGATAACTTCGGTACTTCAACACTTTGGAACTTCGGAATTTCTGAACTTCTCTTGCAGCCACTTGGTAGATAACTCCCTAATTCCCACGATATTAGGGAGTTATCTACCAAAAGGCTGAAAGACCTAAATTGGTCTTTCAGCCAAATTTACTACTACTAAGTAAAGATTACTTAGTATTAATAAATTATGCCCCTACTTGCTATACCGTGAGGAAGGGCATGTCTAGTAAACAGTGAGCAGGCTCCAACCTCCCGAGCCCCCACCCGCAACTTGCATAATCAGAGTGCTCTGTGTCATTTTACACAGTGTGGGAAAGTTCTTTGGAATTTTCCCATGCTGTGTAATTTGACTCATAACTCTCTGATTGGTCACTCGTGCGGCACGGGTGGGGGCTTGGGAAGGGGGATGTGTTTTTTTTTTTTTTCTTACAGTGAGCAGCCATAGGCTTAATTTTAATAGACACACCCCTACTCGCGGTATAGCGAGTAGGGGCATAATTTACTAATACTAGTAAATTTGGCTGAAAGACCAATTCAGATCTTTCAGCCATTTAGTAGATAGCTCCCTAACACTGTGGGAATTAGGGAGTTATCTGCTTATTCATTCCTGTCACTACACTGACTGGCTAAGTAACTTACATTTTATATGAATGTATGTTACTTGATTGTTGTAAGTGTTGCAAATGCTTACAGCTGAATCCTGGCTATGTTTGTATACTCTTTATTTAAATTTGAATACAGTGTAACATTCTTCTTCTTTCACTGGGTAAGTATATTAGTACTTAGGCAACACTGTGCTTCGGAACTTCGGCAACTTCGGCACTTTAACACCTCGGAACTTTGGCAACTTCGGAAATTCGGTAATTTCGGAACTTCGGGACCTCTGCAATTCGGCAATTCGGCTATTCAGACATTCGGAAGTACATGAACTTGGAATACAAGAGAAAATAAAACAAGACAAGAGATACAAGGCAAAACAAGAGGAGACATAACTAAGTACTAACAATTACGGTGGGTCCTAGCTGCCTATATATGCATGACTAAATAAACAATAATAAAACACAGTGGAGATTTAGCAAAATTAAAATTCATATAAGTGCGGGAATAAATAAATTAGAATGATTTCCTCCCCCCGATCTGACCTTTATCCCTGTATGGGAGAGTAAAGCAAGACCACCCATTGTGACTTCTATGAGTTTGATTTTGGTTATGTTTTATTGGCATTCTATGTTGAATATCTTCCTTCATTTCTTTCACATCTATACTATCAATAAATGTGAAATATAAAACACTTTGTTCGGTTCGTTATATTACTATATTTATAGTACTGCTATAATAAGTAACATAGAACATGTTAATATCAGTTGACATAT